AACATAACTATTTACATATAGCATTTACATTGTGTTGAGTATCATACGTCTCCTAAAGATGATTTGACATCCACAGGAGGGCGGATGCAGCTTCTGGACAAATACCGTAACATTTTTAGAACATCTGAGGGTTTTGGTACCTGGCCACTCTCAGGCAGATTCGCTGTGCCCAGGGATAGCCTCCTTTCCAAACTCAAGCCTCCCTTGTTGAGGAAGAACTGCAGCAGCCTGGCATCTTCCTTCTGCTCCTGGTGCAATTCCCCATTGCGGCCAAATGCTCGTTGCCTAGAAGAACCAGACCTGCTCCAGGGCTGCAGTGGTATGAGCCTGCCATCCCAGGTGTCTACCCAACTCACCACCTGGGAAGTCTAGCATTGGTACACAACCCTGCCCATTAGCACAACAGGTACCAGTCTTTGGTAGACCCAGAGATGAAAGAAATCAAGGAAAGGAAACAGCAGACTTTCCCTAGTTCCTGACCTGGCTGGGACCCCAGCTGCATCCCCTGGGGGAATTCAGACTCCCATTGCCCCTGGATACCTGTCCAACCCCTGCCATGATCTTTTGCAGTTTGCTGGCTCTAGGGAGGTCTACCCGTCCAGTCTTTCCCATCCTCAGGGTTCTACTGCACATAGTCCAACCTGGGGTAAACAGCCAGGCCCGTACCAGGTCATGTGTTTTTTGGCAAAGTCAGCCACCCGCAGTGTCCTTTTCTGCAAATGGGAACCTGTCCAGGCATCCCAGCCGCCTACGACACACATTCGTGGTAAATCAGAGAGGGGTCTGCTCCAAGGATCCTCCCAGACCCGTGGTGAAGAGCAGCCCAGGGGATGTCAAGGAGCCTTTCAGGACTGGCCTTCCCCAGGCAGGGAAAGCATACCAGGGGTCGGGGCACATGTGCAGGCGTGTTGTTACAGCAAATCCAAAGAGCTCTCATTGCGGTGGCCTGGGGGTGACTGTGACCCCAGTCAGGCAGATTGCTGGCTGGGTAGGGACAGAGAGGATTAGAAGCCTCACATGGGCCTGGAAGTCATGTGGGACTCACCCAGCATTTGCCTTGGATTCATCTCAACCTCTGGCCCAGCCCTGAGCAACTTGAAAAGGCTCAGCAGTAATTAGAAGCATGTGGCTCCCCTTCCTGGCTCATGAGGGCGGGGGCATTGGCCGCCTGACGTGGGGCTTCTGAAAGAATGATTAGGTCCAATTGTCTCAATTATGCAAAGTAGGGCTGACATTTGTAGCCCAGAAGGCCTGGCTGGGGCAGGGGATGTGGGGGGACCACTTCAAAGGGAGCTGGCTTTCTGTGCCTACCACACTGAGCAGCCTGGAAGCCAGGTCATGGGGCCATTGTCTCACAGGGATCATGAGGCCTGGGCATGGACACTCACATGCTCTCCATGTGGGCTGCTCTTTAAGAAGAGCGAGACCCCTCACCCAGTTTCCTGCCTGGGCCAAGGAAGAGGCTGGAGGAGGCCAGGTTGAACCCTTCCTGCTTGGCAGCTGAGGCAGGTAAGCCAGTAGCGGAGCTTGGCTTTTGGTCCCTTGCTTCTCTCTGCAAAGGTGGCTTCAGGGCCTCCTGGGAGTGAGTACTGGATCCAGACTCGGCCTGGGTTCCCAGAGTCTCGAGCTGACTGACAGTTTGGCTGGTGGAAGTTAGGGTCTGTCGGGTCAAGGAGCGGCTAATACTCAGAGTGTCCCTGGGTGGCAGTTTCTCCATGCAGGTGCCTTGAATTTGCAGGGACGTTCCAGGGCTGGGCGGCACCCACCCTCTCTCAGTTTCTTACCTCACCCCTTTCCTTTGGGGAAACAGACATCTTCCTCAAAAACCCCAAATCACCTAAGTGTACAGGGTGAATGTGTACTTAGAAGCCTTCGCCGCAGGAGCGTGGGACTGCTAAAGTTTAATTAGGCTTGAGGGAAATAGGGTGGAGGCCCCAGGCCTCTCGTTGATCCTTCACAACAGAAGTGTGGGCTGGACTCTAGACATGTTCAACAGCACATGCCAAGGCCAGCAATCCCACATGGAGGAATCTGTCCTGAGGGTAAGAGGACATCCACCCAGTATTTTGTGCCACAGTGCGACCCAGGGTTGTCCAGTAACAGGGTGGACACAGATCCTGGTCTGTCCATCTGAAACATTATAAGACACTTCTACATGACGGAGGAAAAGGTACAATCACCATGCTCAGAGTAGTCATAGCCTTGGGAGTTGTACTGCCCGTGTCTAACACATGTCTAATGTATCTGTAGAAAACAGGCAGGAGTGAGCATGTGGAAACATGACCATTGTCATTGTAGCCCGGAGGCTTTGGGAGGACCTGCTCATTTGTTCTTCTGTCTCTCTCTCTCTCTCTTTTTTTACTTCTGTAAGTTTCTATAACAATTTCTTTTTTAAAATGAATTTACTTTTATTTCGTGTACATTGGTCTCTTGCCTGTATGCATATCTGTGTTAGGGGTGTTGGATCCTGAAGTTTGAGACAGTTGTGAGCTGACATGCGGGTGCTAGGAATTGAACCCCGGTCCTCTGGAAGAGCAGTCAGTGCTCCTAACCATTGAGTCATCTCTCCAGGTCCACCCCCTCCCCCGCCATAGAAACTTCTTTAAACCAAAATATGCATGTTTTTAAACCATAAAAATCGACCTAATTAGTGGGGAGAATGGCAGTGTGCATAGCCAGTACTCGCCTTGATGTGGTACAGGCACTGGGAATGAAGGTGGGGAGACAGGAGAGACGCGCACCCCGTCTTGTCTGGATTCAGTGCAGCAACAGGACTAAGGTCAGGCTTTCCCCAGGGGGAAGACAGGTTTGACTGGGGAAGGCTTCTCTCTGACAGTGTTTTGTGTGGCATTTACGGTTATATTTGTAGCGCGAGTTGGCCACTCTCTTGCAGCTTATTTTAGAAATAAGAAAATGTCACTGGAAATGCCAATTCATGTCACATGTGTTTGCTGTGATTTGTTGTTTGCCTGATTATTTTCTAGAAATCTAGAACTTGATTTGATTCTCTCTGACTTACTTCTAAGTTTGTAAGTAGTACAGTTAATGAGACGGCCCCAGACATTTGAGGTCGCTTGTCATCCCCAGGCTAAACTGAGCAAAAACGGATTTTCCAACAAGCCAAAAGTCTCTTACTTAGGGACATTAGGTGGCTTTGAAAAACTCTTTTTACACATTGGCTAAACCTTTTTCAAGATATTTTGGAGAGAGACAGACAGACAGACAGAGAGACAGAGACAGAGAGAATTGATTGGAGCCTGGGCCTGGAAACTGAAGCCCCTAACTGGGAGCTCAGTGGATCCCTATCCACGTCTATCTTCTGGAACCTAAAGGAATTCACCATCGAAACGCTTCCATTCAAAAGAGTTGCCCACTGTGGCAGCACATATCTGTGATGCCACGGCTGGGTAAGGAGGAGTCATCAACTGGGCTACACAGTGAGGTTGTCTCAAGAAAAAACAACCACAAAAAAAGGCATGCTTAACTAGAGACACATTGCCATGGTGACCTGGCTAGGGACCTGGCCTGCTGATCCCGCCTTCACTGGCTCTGTTAGACTGGGCAGTGGGCAACTGAGATGACGGTGCTAGAAACCCCTATGGCACAGGAGCGATTGGTCCATGCCCCAGGCACTTCGTAGTCAGGGACAGTTCTCCCAGGCTCCCGCAGAAAGTGTATATTACTGTTAACTCACGATTTTCCAGAAGTCACCTTTAGCTGGCATCCAAATGTGTGTGCAAATGTGTGTGTGCGCGCACAAATGTGCATGTGTGTGCTTGCATGTGCGTGCGAGTGTGTGTGTTTACAGTGCCACTCAGGAACAGGTGCAGTTCCAGGCCCTCCCCAGCAGCTGGGCCTCCTGTGTTTCTTATGTCCCCTTCCTTCTGGGGACATAAGTTTCCCCTCTGTGACTATGGCAAGCACAGGTATCCTCTCCCAGCTGAGTGCATTTGTCCCCCGTGCCTGCCCCTCCCCCACCCCCCTCACCCCTGGGTTGGTAATGCTTGATGTGCTTGAAATTGACTACATTCCTATCTGAGGGCCTCCTCCTGATAACAGCACCAGGACAGGCAGATCCTCTGGCCTGGGGCAGGAAAGCTGGGTTCAGGGAAGACAGCCCATGAGGCCATTCCCCCCATTTGTTAATGACTGTAATGTAATGCATGAAGATGCAGAATATGCTAACATGTAGAATATGTTAAAACAGACAGGAGGGCTGCAGTGATCTTTGTGTCTCTGCCTCCCCAGCACTGTGATGACAAGTGAGTGCCAGCCGGCTTGGCTTCTTTTTGGGGGCATGAGGTAATAGTGAAGGTACCTTCCTGTGGCTTTGATTTCTGTTTCCCTAGTGATTTGTGATGCTGAACTACTTTTCAGGTGTTTGTTGGCTACTGCGCATCTTCCAGGGAGAACTGCCTATTAAAATGTCCTTTGCTGATTTTTCTTTTAGAATATATCAATTATTCTCTGATAATTTCAGACATGTGTACACTCTCTTGATCATACTCAACCCCAAATCTATCTCTCTTTCTTTCTTCTTCCCTCCCTTCCTCCCTCCCCCCCCCTCTCCCTCCCCCCCCCCTTACCCCTTCCCTCCAGACTGCTGACAGACCTTCTTGGCCTGACCTTGTGCAGGTCTGACATAGCAGATAATTTCAGGGAGTCCGTAAGAGGGACTAGCACCCCACATCCAGAGGACAGCATTTTACCACACTCCTGCCCATCTTCCTGCGCTTACATTCTCCCTGTTCCTTTTCCTAAATGTTCCCTGCACCTTGTGCGGTGGGGCAGGTTGATTTAGATGTCCCATTTAGTGCTGAGCACTCCAGAAAGGGGCTACTCTGGCCAAGGTGGAAGGCAGCATTCACACACACACACACACACACACACACACACACACACACACACGGAGAATTAGACATAGCTATATAAATGTAAATGGTATGAGGCAATTTAACATGTTTGTTTAACAAAACAGTTGTAATAGGTTTCCTCTTGGGACCTCTGACTACCAGAGCCCTCGGTTTTTGACCAGGTTTCCCATCGTACCAGGAGTAACTTCTCTCCTCTGGAGCACGCCGCAGATCTGGCCAGAAATAAGTTGGTTATCCCCGGAAACTCCATGCTCCTCTTGCACCAGTGGGCATGTCTTGCCTGGCGGGTTGATATTGCCATATGGTCCAATGCTGGGTAGGACAAATCTTTTCTCCCCTACTGGCATGCCTAGCACCTTCTAGCCCTGTAAAAACTAGCTGGCCGGGAGAAGGTTTTCAAGTCAGTACCAGTTTGATACCACTAAGTTTTGCAACCAAAAGGTATGGTACTTCCCTTTGCTTCTTTTCGGATGGCTGTACTTCTGTTGTTGAGTGATAAGGAACCTCATACAGCCTAGAAACTAGATCCTCACCAGATACACAATCTGTCATTTTTTTCTCCCTTTCTACAGGATATCCTTGGATATGCTTTTATGCACATTTTCTAACATAACGAAATCATTCGTCTGTTTTTTTGTTGTTGTTGTTGCTCATATTTTGGTGCCATTCAAATGTGCAATCTCAAGCCCAAGGTCATGGAGATTTAGCCTCATTTTCCTCTTTCTTCTAAGAGATTTGTAGTTTTAGCTCTTAACTTTAGGTCTGATTCCATCTGAGTTAGCTTTATAAAGGGTGTGAGGTAAGGGTCTAAATTTATCCTCTGGTGCGTAAAAATACAACTTTCCAACACTATTTGTTGTGAGACCTTTTCCCACCACCACTGAGGGATCTTGATAGCCTCATCACACATCCGTTTTCCATAGATAATGTGGATTTATTTCTAGGCACATCTATAACTGAAATTTTAAAATCATTGTCTTGCACATCAGCCAAGGGAACATTATGGTGGGGTGTTTGATTTCTCGAGGAGACACGCTTCTTTGGTTACTCACATTGTTTATGTTCTTGTGATAGAATCTCGCCATCTGGAGCTAAGTCACTGGTGGTGTTCCTTGGTGTAGATAGCGGGCCTTGCCAAAAAATGTCTCTTCAAAGTTCAAAGCGTCTCTAAAATTAAAAAGTCTCTCTAACAGTCCGAAATATCTTAACTGTGGGATCTGATAAAATTTAAGATAAACAAGTTGCATAATTTCATATTCCAAGAGGGAAGACTCAGGGCACAATCGCAGTCAAATCAAAACAAAACCGAGGTTTGATGGCGTAAAAAGTTCAGCTTCTCACATCTGGGACCCACTCGTAATTCTGTGGACCCCACAGGGCTCCCCAGTGGCCCTCCTCCAACTCTGCCCTCTGTCACACACACACAACTCTTATGACTTAGGTGGGCACCCCTCCATGGCTTCTGGCTTCGTGGCCGTCCATGATATTGGCATCTCCAAAATGTTGGGATTTGCACAGCAGTTGGGCTGCACCTTCACCCATAGCCTCTCCTGGCCTCTCTTCAGGGACTCTCACTTTGCTCCCTGGTGCCAGGCCTCACTTTCTTCCCACACCTCCGTTGGTGCTGGTGCTTCCACTGCAACTGAGTCTGCGCCTTCTCAATGGCCTCTCATGGCACGCGGCAGGGTCAGGTCTTAGTTATTCCTTGTGACTCTTTCGTGTTTTCAAAACCAGCACCCCTTGGATAGCTCTCGCATATTGCAAAGTTTGGCTCCTAACGTGAGATGCAGCCTTGGCCCCCACAGTCACAGTTTCTGTGTGCTGAGTCCGAGGCAATATCCCCAGACTTATGGTCTTCAACATTGCTGGACTCTTCCTAATCACACTGACTCTTCAGGACCAGCTGACCAGACACAAATTCTGAATTCAAACTATTGAATGGCCCCCACAGTCTTCATTTATCTCCAAAACTTTACAAGCCATGTCTCCATCTTCCTCATCCCTCCCAACATTCTTTTCTTCCAAGCTCCTACAGAGCTTGAGTTTTAAACATTCAACAGCTTTTCTAGCCCCAAGTTCAAATACCATCACAAACCTGTCTGTCATAGGAGTTCCCATGACCTGGTACAAATCTCCGCCTTACTTAGGGTTCCTTTTGCTTGGATAAACACCATAACCAAAAGCAACTTGGAGAGAAAGAGGGTTATTTCAGCTTACATGTCCCATCATGAAGTATCGAGGTTGTTTATGATCTTCCAGCTGTACTTTCACTGTATAATGCTTGTGGGAAGTCAGGGCAGGAACCTGGAGACAGGAACTGAAGCCAAAGTCATGGGCATGTGCTCTTTACTGACTTGCTCCCCATCGTTTGCTCAGCCTGCTTCCTTAGATAACCCAGGAGGATTTCCCAGGGCCAACACTGCCCACAGTGACCTGAGTCTTCCCACATCAATCCTCAATCAAAGCAGCACCCCACAGGCTTGCTTACAGAGCACAATCATGGCAGCATCATCTCAATAAACATGCCTCCTCCCAGTATGTCTAGGCTTGTGTCAAGTTGACGAAAACCTGTCAGCGCACTGTAGTCACCCTGGCGCTGCACCTTGCCTCTCCCCAACACATGAACTTGCAGTTCCTGGAGAGGTCTGCCTTGGAAGGACCCCCAGATAGGCACAGTGTTGCTGTATAGCTCACACTGGTCTGGCCTTCACCCGTGATAGGGTTTGTGAAAATTCTAGGCCCTGGTACTCTGGGCAGACCGCAAGTCAGCATTTCCAATCTGCTTAGTCTTCAGCTGTGGCAAAATACACAAAATGTGAGGTACTCTCACCCTTTTCTTTTTCTGATGCTTTTTTAGTTGTCATACAAAATGCTGTGCTTTTTAATATATCGTACACACATCTTATTGTATCTTACCCAAAGCTATAGACGCTTTATTAAAAACTTTATTGGTGTGTATTCATTCTATGTAATACTGGGTTTCATAAAGACAATTTCTTTCAAGTAAATCATGAACCTCGACCATATTCATCCCATACTTTCCCACTGGGTTCATACTCTCTGTATACTTATACATCTGTATACTCGCTGGGATGCAAAAGTATCAATGTGCCGTCTGTCTTTCCGAGTCTGGCTGATTTCACCTATGGTGGCATTGATTACACTCATTATGGTACAGTCAATCTCAGCTATTGTCATCTTGCAAAGTGGAAACTCTGCCCCTATTAAATAACTCCGTATTTCCCCTCATTGCACCCTTGGCAGCCACTATTGCTGTCTCTGTCACTGGGAGTCTGACAGCTCTAGGAACCTCCTGCATACGGAGTCATACCAAGTTTGTCCTTCGACTGGCTTATTTCACTTAGCTTAGTGTCATCAGTGACCAGCCGTGTGGTAGGTAGCCTATGTCTGAATTTCTTTCTTTTTAAACCATGAATAACATTCCACTGCATGCCTGGCTCACACTGTGTGCATCCATCCATCCATCCATTGATGGACACTGGATTGATGGACACTTGGCTTCTTTTCATGACTTGGTTTTCACTCTTTGGGATTTAAACAAATAGAATTGTGAATCTGGTGCTAATTCTGTGCTGAATTTTAAAGAATTTCCACACCGACTTTTGCAATGACTCTCCTAGTCTCCACCTCACCAGTCATGAGTGCCATGACAGTTCCTTGTCCCCAGTGATGAGTCTGTGGAGTCCCGCCCACCGAGTAGGAAGGCCATCTCCAGTAGTTAGGGATGTGACTTGCTTTCCTCTTTCAACCCAGTTTCCTTGGGATTTTGTCACGATGGCAGGAAGCTGAATATGGCGTGGCCACCAGCAACATTACTAGAAGATGTTAGTGATGCTGCAGCCGTGCCAAGGGGCGATGAGAAGCCCAGACTCAGAGCGTGCTGGTGCGGCAGGATAGCAGGTGTGAGAGTTCCTCACTTCGGCTGGGTCACCCTGGGACAGTCTCTTTTCCTTCCCTTTAAAATAAACCGTGCTTATTTTTAGAAAATTAAAAACGCAATATAAACAACGAAGAAATTAGAGAAAAATTATACACTCCCTACCAGCAAGTAGGAATTCTCTTCAACCTTTCTCTGGCAGTATTCAACACTTCCTTGTCTTGCAGCACTCCTCACCATGGTGGGAACCCCGGAAACAACTCGCAACTTTGTGGGTGTGTGAAAAGGAATTCAGTACTGACGTGGGCTGGGATGTATATAAACCTGGAAAACATCACACGAAGTGTAAGAAGCCAGGTGTGGAAGATCACGTGATTCTACTCATCCAAGATGCCATACATGACAGCTGTTGCCAGGAGCTGGTAGTGGGGGTGAATGGGAAGTAACACTAACAAGTCCATGATGATTTCTAATGTTTTTATTCAGTGTGTGTGTGTGTGTGTGTGTCTGTATGTGTGTGTATGTGTGTGCATCTGTGTGTATGTGTGTATGCGTATGTGTGTATGTGTGTGTCTCTGTGTGTGTGTGCGTGTGTGTGTGTATGGGTGTGTCTGTATGTGTGTGTATGTGTGTGTGTGAGTGTGTGCGTGTGTGTATGTGTGTGCATACGTGT